GTAGTACAAGATGCAACCACCTAGCTCTGTGAAGATTCATTGTCTGAGTGATTTGATACAATGACCAAGTACTTTGAGTCTAACCTAAATGTTGCTTTATAGGAGTTCCCAGCAAAAGTATCTATGACCAAATACTAGTAACCTACTATTATCCTCTATTTTTAAAAGTTACTCTTCATACTCGAAAAGTAGAACAGAGCGTACAACAATGCAGTAAACTCACCTTTTGGTTGATAGTACGAAACTTAAGTTCATTGATTACTGTTAATTAGTCATGCTCTCTCAAATTATACATTTTCGGTTGTCTTTTGACCTCATTTACATTGATAACATATCCTATATTCAAATGAAGAAGAAAAATTGGACGAGAGAATGAAATAATTTCATTTTTATCAGAATGAGGATAGATTGAGGTCAGACATTAATACTATCGGATGCTGGATTAGTGTCTAGAGGCTAAGCGTTCACGAGCGAGACCGAAGGTCGTGGGTTGGAGTCCCATGTGTCCCATACTAGGACAAAACGGCCGTCCAATGCCTCCAGGTTTTAAATGGTAGTCTAGCTTAGATCAACTCATGAATTCAGCGGTTAAAATTTCACTGCACATTGAATACACTTAAAGTTAATTTGATATAAAGTTCAGTAAAAGTATTCTGGGCTTAAATAAAAAATACTGTAAAAGTATTTTTCCATAACGTTTGGATTTCATCTGACGATTATTATTATTATATGTTTTAAGATCTTTGGTTACAATATTTATGATCGCTTTACACAAAAGAAATAATTTAAAAGTAGGATCAATTATGAAAGGACCACTGATAGTCAAGGATTGATAAAGTATTAATTCGGCTTTTCTTATACTTACAACTGTATGTTTTACTTTTACAAACGAGCTTAAAGCATCGACTATGAGATCTCGTAGCATCAAAATATCATGTGTTCACTGAGCAACGGTTCAATGACCCATTTTATCTTTACTGTATTCAAATAGCTACGTGACAAAACTTTCGCCCAATATCAACGAGCAGGCACTAACGTATTTCTTACACTATTAAATGTGTAAACTACAAATTCACACCAAAACTCCCCTAAATATTCACAGTTCATATAAACTTGAATCATATTCTTTTGTAGTGTTCGGTACTTAAATCTAGTTACTTAACACCTCAACATAGTAAACGTGTTGTCGATTCACTCAAATAAGTGGCCAAACTGCAAACTGGTCAACAGAATTCAATCAACACTGAAGGAGTGGACAGATATAACATTAGTCACCATCCAGTAATCAGCCACTTTTAGCCATCTCCTTCCTAAAGTAGGTTAGTTACAGCCCAAGCAGATCAACGGTAACGTTTAAAAATGCGAAATTTAACTATGCTGTTTTGAATTCCACAAGGAGGATCAATTTCCTCAGTATTACAGGTATGTCTTTCTAACAAGTATCGAATAGTATGAAATTTAAACCCAAGGTTTTCTGTCGAATACTTGCGACTGCCTAAAAATTCAAATACTAAATATTGTCTCATTGAAATTATATGTTTATACATAAAGCATATTGGTTACCAACAACAAAAGGTGACAAGACAATTTTTAACCTTTTTTCTTTTTACTACATTGTAAACAATCTTCATATATATTGATTTAATTTAATATTTTACATCTATTCAAATTATACACTCAGTAACTAATAATTATGACGTAATTACTTAAGGAAGTTTATTTTTCGAATAATATTCTGAAATAATAAAGAAATATAGAAGTGATTTACAGACATTGAAAATAAACAAAAAGACAGTAAATGTCACTGGATAAATTGAAAGTACTTCTCATATACAAATAAGAGGTAAATTGCAAAGTTCGACAATAGTACTAGACAACAACATAAATAATTGCATATTGGGAAATGTCATTGGAAGAGAAATCATACAAAATGTCAATGGGTTTTTTTCCCTGTATTATTATGGTTCGTTGATAAACGATAAAACTTATACTCATATACATGATACTATTGGAAAAAATTACCAAAAAATCATTGATTACAATAGCTTATTATATAATTTGCACTGTTTATAATTCAATCAAAATCCGTCTATATGATAACTTTTAAATATTATTGTTAACTTAAACTAAAATCACGGATGCGCACTGCTGAGGAGTCCCACATAAGGACGAAACGTCCATCTAGTGCTTCAAGGTCTTCCATAGTGTTCTAGCTTCAATTGACTCATGATTTCAATTATATTAAATTCTTTTGTTTATATTTTAGATGTGTTTTGACAATGGATATGTTTTTAAGATTTATACTCTAACCAATTCATCTAGTAATTAGTATATTACATATCTTACTGATTGTATTATTAGTTATTTGTCTTATATATGTTTGAATTGTTAATTTTGACAAAATATATGATGTTTAATCGTATTTAGAGTGAAAGTCCAGGTGAATGGTCAGAGAATATGCCTATCTCAAATGAACTTAATCATCTTAGTGAAAGGATTTATATATAGACGTGTATTAAGTCAATAACTTACAGATAAGGCATATTCTTTTTTTAATTTTAAATTACGAATCAATTGAAAAATGTAATTTTAGTATTTAGATCAAGCATATCTATCCATTCTACTAATACTCAACTGAAACAAGGATCTTTAGATAGAATTGAAACACTTTGCCAAAATCCAATAGTTAACATTTCTCGTTTTGATATGACATATAACTATCAAATATCATTGATGAGCTACTGTTTCATTCCGGTTACGAACGAATTTACAAACCATCAACGTGAATATACCAATAAAGGGAGTGAAGCTTAAAAATTCCATTGGAGTAATATCAAAGCGTGAATGATAAATCTAATATATTTGTCACACTAAATCAATAGTAATTCCTTCAAAAAATATTTAACTTATGAAAAGAAACAGTTTTACCAATGTAACTTTAAAATATGATAAAAGCATGTCTTTCAACTGAACGACCGATAAATTCACTTGTATGACTTTGATTATGAATTTTAAGAAAAATGGAAATAGTAAAAACTCATTATATGGCTAACAGTGGAATTACATAAGGGCTTTGCGTCCCATTTCGGACTTGTCACTTATAAGTATCTCCATCAAAATATTAATGTTCCAACAGAGACTCAAAGCCCATTCCTAATACTTTAAGTGCCAACACATTATACACTGACCTACTGAGCTCAGATAACTATGTGTCCTGAGTATCAATAATGAAAAACCGCAAAGTGTTATTCAAAAAAATAAATTAGTTGCACAGAATAATGAATGATTTTTCAAAGATAAATAATCTGATAGATAAGAAAATATCCACTAGAGTATAAAACAATAGAACGTGTTTGAACAAAGCGATTTCCCCCTTGAAGTTGTATAGTTCGAGAAGTATACGATTTTCACAATCATTATCTATACTACTTTTGTTAATAGCGATAATCATAGATCTCAGTTTTTTTCTTAGTAACGTCCTGTCTCAAACGACTTGTTCACCCCAAACTTTAGACTGAATTAATCTTCGATGGTTTTTAAAATCCCGTATCATTATATAACTAATCATACCATTTTGGATATTCTTATTTTTGTAAATAATAGTAGCTTCTTAATGTCTATGGCATTTTTCTCAAGCTTTGTAACCATCATCTTTTCTATTTCTTCATAAAAGCAACACTGTGCAGTTTGCTCAATTTAATTCTTTTGTTACTATATTCAATAAATATTTATTACCAAGATTCACTTTATAGATTATCATTTTAAAACGTTCGTTTTTATTTCATTAACTATTTAATAACTGATGGAAGCGACCTCTCAGCTGAACCTGATAATTACCACTCTGAAATGATTCTATCCACATTTCATCCTTCATTGAATATGTCTCCACAAATTTTATTAATTATGTAGAGTTGTGATAATCGTTGACTCTTTTTTATTTTAAATTTTACTACCAATCACTTATCATTATTTTATAGGTCAATTTGTGCCAAAACATTTGATACATGACATATACTTTTGTTTATTGGACGAATTCCTTACCATATTTGTTTAGAGTAAAAAAAGAAAGATAATAAATGATTTAGGTATAAATATTTCTTTATTTGCTCAATTATTAATTTGTTCTATGAACGTTTAATACGTTAAGATGTATATAATTCCAAAATGTCAAAATGAATGATTTAACTGGTGTATACTGACTATTAACTTTTTGGTCAGCCTCACATGCCTTTATATACATATATATATATATAAATGTTCATGTTTGTGTGTGTGTGTGCACAAGTGTATTGAATGTCTATCTTTCTATCTTCTATATCCACATGGATACATCATCTATCCTTAAATAAATAGGAAAGACTTATATTGTCTCCCAAACAGTGATATACACATTTGTATTCACAGAATTTACAATAAAGATGACAAATCTTAAAAACGAATAAAATAAATCATTTTTGTTTGTTTACATACAAACAACACTATTTTTCATAAGAATTATATGGAAAATTTAGTCTACGAATGACAATACACTTTTAATATCCATATTTATAGAATACACACTATATATCCCACCATATATATAATACGACAATTATAGTGATGATAATATTTAAACAAGCAACAGTATTAATTTATCCTATAAAAGAAAGACAAAAAACTCTACAAGACAAATTAACTCAAAACAGCAACTATTGTTATCACGAATTTATCAACAATATATAGCCAATTGATGTGAAGTAACATTACATTGACACATTTTGACCAATTATTTAAGTAGTATATTACTCGTATACAAACAAAAATGCCGAATAATAAATAATATTAAGTTATTGATGAACATAATAGTTTTTTAAAAAAAAGAAAAGAGTTCATACACATAATTAAAGGAGTTACAAACTTGTATTTTTTTTTTCTAAAATTAAAATGGATATTTAGAACTGTACTTATTTAATAATAAGAAGTTCAATACAGTTATATTGAGGAATTTCATTTTATCATCGATGAAAAATATTTGGAAATGTAAAATGGATCAACAGTGAGTTCTTTGTATGTTTTAATTCTCTGTAAATGTTGACAAGTTTATATATATATATATCCTATCTAAATTTACATACATATTCTTTCTTAATTGACAACTTAATAAGAGTTTTAAGCAAAGATAGATAGTGGTTAGCAGTGGAATCCAGGAGGCGAGTTTTGTCCTGTTTGGGACTAGTCAACTGGATGTACCTGCATCTTAAAGTTGATGTTCACTCTTTTCTTATAAAGCATGTAACTTAAGGCAATATCGAGGTAATCCGTAAATGATACACCTATACCTACAAAAAACTGATCAATCGCAGTCTTAAATAACAAAGAGAAGATACAAGTAAACAATACCAAGTGAATTTAAGTATTTAAAAATTTATGATAGTAAATTCATTTGTAAGAGCCTCTTTTATTTTTTTGAATGCATTCTAAAACGTTTTTAACTTAAATTTTTACATGAGTAGCAAAAAAATTGGATTAAAATATTTATTTCTAGTCTCATGGTTATTGCCAAAAGGGGTTTTGTGGATATTATAGTAATTTTAATGGTTGAGATCATGAATCACTTGAAGATAGACCACCATGGAAAGCCTGGAAGCACTGGACGGCCGTTTTTTTCTATCGTGGGACTCCTCAACAATGAGTATCCACGATCCCGCCTCGCGAGGTTGGTTTTTGACAATGTTTGGCGTAAATCCTTTACGATAATAAATCTACCATATCTTGATTTCATAAATGCCTTTGATACTTTAAACACTAATATAATAATAATCACACTAGAAGAAACAAATTCATTTCAGATCACATGAAATCTTGTAGTTCGAATGATACATATTACCTTTTGTTCAATCATGACCTGTTAGTTAATTATTCATAATCAGTAATATATGTTAGAATGTATACAGTTTTTCTTTAATTTATTTATTCAAATAATTTAAATTATTTATCAACTTTTAATATACAGTAATCTAAATTTAATCCTTTGAGATTACGAATCTGATATATAAAATAAACATGTTCATGTTTAACAAGAGAATATTCAATACTTTTAACAGTAGTATTTTCGAATTAAGTTTAATTTATCATCCCTTCAGAAATGTTCAATCAAACTTATAATCTTGTTGTATTTTCATTCAAAAATTAAAAGTTTTATATGGCTAATGATAAGTAATTTCTATAATAGTAATTTCATGTATTTAGGCTACTTAATTATGTAAATCAGTAGTTAATATGTCGGTCAGACATATTTTAAAAAAAATCTTGCATAACATTTAAAAGAAACTCTTAATCAATTCACAGAACAAAAGAATTCACCTATAAAATTATATTATGATTAATATCACCTTTTGAACAATGCAGTTACATATTCATTATTAAATTTATTTAACATTAAAGGTTGTCATTCAATCTTCAAGATTATTGTAGTGAACAAGAACACGAATGGGGACAATCGATTGTAGTTAGCCACAAAATTACAGAATATCTCAGTAAAATCTGACAATAATACAATGAACAGTTGATTTGCAAACTATTAATCAATTGTCTCAATCTTGACCATTCCTTCTGTAAATATCAATCCATCGTCTCCGATTATTATTGTTCATACATTTTTAAACCAATTACGTTCTGTTCCCGTTATTTCGTTGTCAATCTTCTATTGAAATACATTCAATGCCAGATCACCGTTATAAACTACTTAAATGGATATAAGTAACCCGCACCACATTATGACTAAAATGAACTTTGATTAAAACCTCAGAAAATGGTAATGATTATGTAATGTTAATGACAATTTTTATAACAGATAGATAGATCTATATACACCATTATTGCTTTCTATCTAGAAACTAAGAAGAGTTTAGTAATATACTTAAAATTCGAATTGAAAGACAATCACTTGTTCAATTTGAATTAGTTTGTAAAACTGTCATCTAAAAATTAGAAAATAATAGTTTTTGTTAAAAAAAAATAACACAATGAATTCATGATAAATAAAGGTCAATAAAGTAACAATACAAAGACAAGGTCTAGTTTTTCTTTTCCTAATTTAATGAATATTGATCTATTCTATATTATGGTATCAAATGTTATTTTACACTGAATAGTAAAATCAATTGAATCTTGAAGATTTATATTATTAAAGAAGTCAGAAACTTGAATAAATCAAAGAGTTTTGCTTAAAAATAATTATGTGAGTAACTTATATGAAACTATTTATTTAAATAACCGATATAAACAAAAGATAATTTGATAAAAATGAAAAGTTCAATACATATTTATATCTGATGGGGGTTTTGTGGAGATTATGGTAATTTTTTAGTTGAAATCATGAGTCAATTGAAGCTAGACCATCAAGGAGTCCCACAACAGGACTAAACGACCGTTCAGTGCTCCCAGGTTTTCTATGGTGGTCTAGCTTCAATTGACTCATGATTTCAACTATAATGTTTATATCTATCAAAAGAATAACAATTAGCCATAAATAAAATATTTAACTAATCGATTTAAAGACTTCTTTTATCCCTTTCCAGTTGTCCTCCAAAGTAGTTTCTTGTTCATTCAGTAAATCCTGTAGAGCTTGGAACCTGTTGTTGAGAGTTACCTTGAATTCATTGAGCTTTTCAATATCTCGAAGGAAGGCTGTATTGAACCTTTGTAGTGCTGTTTGTCCAGTTGTCCAGTCTTTCTTTAGCTTCAGTCTCATCTTGGCCACAACCAGGTGGTGATCTGAAGCTATGTCAGCTCCTCTCCGGGTTCTCACATCTTCCATTGATCTTCAAAATTTTTTGTTGGTACAGATGTGATCTATCTGGTTCTCTGTGGTTTGGTCCGGTGAGAACCATGTAGCTTTGTGTATGCGCTTGTGTGGGAATATTGTGCCGCCTATAACCAATTTGTTGAGTGCACATAGGTTTGCAAGTCTCTCCCCATTTTCATTTCTCTCTCCTAATCCATGTCGTCCAATTACATCTTCATATCCTGTGTTGTCCACTCCAACTTTACCATTTACATCTTCCATCAGGATGGTGAGGTCCCTTCGTGAGCACTTCTCTATAATTGGTTGCAGCCTTGAGTAGAACTGATCTTTATCATCGTCGTTGCTATCATTGGTGGGTGCATAACATTGGATAACATTCATTGTGATCCCTTGCTTCTTTGTTCTGAATGATGCTTTGATGATCCTTGGTCCATGACATTCACATCCCACAAGTGCATGTCGTGCTTCTTTGGACAGCATTAGAGCAACTCCCTGAGTGTGTGGAGCATTTTCCCCTTCGTGACCGGAGTACAGCAGCATCTCTCCTGTACCTAGCCTTTGTTGTCCAGTTTGTGTCCAATGGGTTTTGCTGATTCCAAGTACTGCCAAGTTGTATCTCCTCATTTCCATTGCTATTTGACTGGTCTTTCGTGTCTCCCACATTGTCCGGACGTTCCATGTACCTATAAAGAGTGTTGCTCTGGTTGTTAGAAGGTGCATCGGTCTCGTGACTTCCGAAGAATTTCGGCTTTCATCATGAGACGTCATAATTATTCCTTCAACTCCCAGGGCAGAGTTTAAATGGTTTGACTTATTTTTTCTGGTTAGCGTTTTTTTAGCGAGTTAGCTTTTCTACGGGATGGGGTCGCTAACCTCATGCCCAACTCTCCTCCTTTACCCGGGCTTGGGACCGGCAGTAACTCTAGAAGAGCTACAGGCGGAGTTACTCTGTTTATATACTTCATTATATCAGAAAATAAGGACTTCTAGTGAAGTACAGTCAGCAAATCTACGTAAAAATTTCTTCTAATTCATACAATCACATTAATTAAGTGACTTTGATCATTACCCCGAAGAAGTCCAGACAAGTTGGAATTATTTAAATTTCAATCGCTGAGATTATTTACAATATAAATTTCACATATAACGACTTCTTTATACTCGGTGCCCAATTTTTGTCAAGCTATTCGTTCTAATCTTGGCGAATATTCATATAAAATATAAGGAATTATGTTTTCTTAGAACTGAATTTGATCAGATGATCTTATGAATAATGATAAATATCATATTTGTTGAACATTGTAGTGATTACAATAGCTAGTTACTCCAGTGGATAATAAGTTACATTTTAAAGGACAGGTGTTCAATTCAAGTTTCCATTATCACGTATGTACATTCCATGAAGGATTGAACATACTTTATGAATCATAATGTTAGCTACTATCCAAAAACAGAATAAACATAAACTACTTAAAAAAATGATTTCGCACTAATTTATACGAAGCGTAAGTTAAAACAGAAATTTTATAGTTGCTGAATAATATCAGAATTTGACAGTTCTGTTTTCATTTTTAAGTCTATCGGTAAACATAAACAATGTAATGATTCTTTGTGAAAAGTATATATGGTACACTAAGCAGTTAACAGTGTCATGTTTATAATATTAGGTCGAACAAAATATTGTATATACATTAATGAAAATAAGACCAAACTGGTACCAAGTAGGCATTACTTTAATCAAATGGTTAATATCAATTAGACGAAAAATGATAATTAGATCCTAGGTCTCATACTGACAATAATAGTGTTTCATACATTCAAATAATTGTAACAGATCTCTGTTTACATTTTCAAATTGATGTTTAGGTCTACATCGATCAATCTCTTATTGGCATATGTGCATCCTGTACCGATTACCTCTATATTACCTTATATCTCAAGTATTAGAAGCAGAGATGGATAGTAGCTAGCAGCGAAATCCACGACACGCGTTTCGTCCTATTTGGGACCCATCAACCGGATGTACTCGCACCTCAAAGTTGATGTTCACCCTGGAACTCGAACCCAGTACCGTTCGTTTCAAATACTATTACGTCATTTACTTAGCTACTGAGTCCTGATAGCCACTAGCTTGAGCAATGAAGTGAAATATAAAATTCATTTTGTATTGTTCGTTTGAATTATGTCATTGATGTTTAGGACTGAAATTTGATGCAGGTACATCCAAATAACGAGCCCCAAATAGGACG